GCAGGTTCAAGACCTGAAACACTGCCCACAAAGGACTGCCTCAATCTGCAAAAGGCCAAAACAGGGGCTGTCCCTCACACATCCTACAAGTCTCCTGAGACTTAAAGGCCACATTTACCTAAGCTTTCTATTGAAAGGGGAAATGGAAAGAAGAATGGTTTGCCAAGTCCATAGGTTCCTTTAAGGAATCCACTGCTTCCCCCCTTTTGAATCCCCCTCCTAACCTTTGGGTAAGCTAAGTGTTTGTCCAAAATGTATAAGGATTACATTTTGATGAAGAATTATCCATTGGGAGGCCAGTTTTTAACATTAGAGAAAAAGTCTCTTCCTCTGAGACTGACATTTTAGAAACAACGTGTCCACTAAAAGCCTTCCAAAAGTCTAAACTTCTTTTTTGTTCATAGACCCACCTGACTCCACTTAAACTCCCTAGATCTGGTGGCCTGCATGTCTTCCATTGTGCCTCTATTCACGGTTGGGAGTTACCCTTTTTGTTATTCTTCACCATCTGTCACTTGAACTGCTAGATTGGAATCATCCTCCAAAAACTCTTTGATCATCTTTTCCTCTTCTGTTCTCTGGTACAGCTAGGGTAGTCTTAAGGAGTTTGTCTCTTACCTACAGGCACTTAATATTTTGCTCTGTCAGAAAAGATTTGCAAAGTTTCCTACCATTGTTGTTACTGACTCAGTTGTGCTGCTGTTTCTAGTGCTGGGAGTGCATTTTCCTAGTGTTTTATATTCCAATCCTTCCCACAGCAGTCTTAGCAAATATGTCTTTTACCCTGGGCATCCTCACTCATGGCAGAACTGAACCAGAAGTAGCAGTAGGATGAAATTTTAGTGGGGAAAACATTGATAGAGTCACAGGCTGCACTGGGGATAGCCCCAAATGAATGGTACTGTACAAAAATATATGTGGTGTGGGGCTGTAAATATCCCACCCTTTTTGTTTCTCTCTAAAGAGAGAACAGCTATGTCCCCACACAGAGAAGGTAAGTACTGCATCTTTAAGGTCTCAGCAGTGAGGTAGAGGAGAGGAACATATTGTCAGTGTTTATACCTTTCTTCTTTGTTGAATTTGGGATTGGCTTCAGAGATATCCAGGCTTTTACTGAACATTGTTTTACTATGGCAGGAACAAAGCGAGAAAACAGAGTTACTAGTGTGGACATTTATAAAAGTGAGTCACCTGAAGCAATGCGGGACACCCAGCCCCCCAAACCCATCCTCCCCTTTTTAAGCAATGCTCTGAAAAAACCTTTCTTTTACTTTCCAACTATGGCTCAAGCCTACACAGTGCTGAAGTTCATTACCTACCCCTGACTTCTGAGGTCTAAGATGACTTCCCCATACATACTTGTAAACCCTGCTCTCCTTTATCCAATTGAAAATCCAGGTACCATCTACTTTCTCACATTGTGCAGGGAAAATAGAACATGCCTGAAGGCACAAAGTGCAAAGCGCTCATTACTCAGACTTTTCTAGAAGACCTCAACACCAAGCACAGTCTGGGAAAAGGTTAAAATCAGACCATAGAGCCTCTTAAGAGGAACAGTAATCCATTTTGTATTCCAATTTGTAGGGTCCATTACCACTTACTCCCAACTCCCTTCCCTATACTCAGTGTATAGAGAAATGTCCTTCTTTATCATCTTGGGTCTGAATCCCTGAAGCTTAGAAGCAGAATTCCCTATGCTTTGCTAAAGGGACAGCTCTCTGTAATATCTTTCACTGGTAATATGCTTCATTGTTTCACTGAACACTGCTTCCTAATGTCAGCTGATCTTTCATGCAAGCTATCCACTTCAATAACCAGAAGAAAATGAATAGTTAATGAAGCTCATTTTAGAAGAGTTTTTGGACTCTCACAGCAGAGCTGCTGAAAATTTCTGGCATATCCCCAAGGGATTCTAGCTCCCATGGAATTCTTCCTAGTCTGTGTGATTTTGGCACAAGGTTCAAATTAGCTGGTGTTAAACTGAGCTCAGAACCCACCTCTTTTCTTTTGACATTTCAATGAAATATCAGATGGTCTGAGAGGTGTGGATACTACAACAGCAGAAGCAATTCAGATGTAATTATGAACCCATTTAGTTGACAACTAGCAGAGAAAATCAAGAATTAACAAAACTTAGTCACCAGCTTTAGGGTGGCTGGTGTTTGTGCATACTAACTTTGCCATATACAAAGAACCAATGGAGACCACTTGGAGAGGTCAGCACAAGCATTTCAAGGAGTCTGTAAGCTCAACAAGCAGCCTTTGTGCTGAGTTCCCCTCCTCCATTATCCAAAACTAAGTCACTGATGGACTATGTTTTTCACTTAAAACTTTCTCAGCCTGTAGGGTTGTAGGCTGCGAAGTTTCAAATCTCAATGGAAAGATACGCCCTTAAACAAGCCAAGACCAGACACTTGTAGGGTCCCCACATGGTTACCAAAAGCACAGCTCATCATACAGACACATAAGCCAGAGGTTATAACATAAATCCCCTTTATGCAAGCAAACATCTGCCTCCTACAGGGAAAGATGGCAATAGGACTATATCACAAGACACATGGGTGTGTTCTGCCCACTGGTTAGATGAGTATTTCTGCCAGCTCAAGAAAGAAGCAATGGCTCTGTGTTTCTGGATGTTTACACAACTCATCTGTGTCTAAATTGGAGACCTGTTTCCGTGGTCCACCTCCCTGTCTTCCCAGGATTGTAGGATAAAAGTACTGAATAGTCATCTCTTGAGACCAAAAAATGTCACTCTTAAAAAAGCATCCACCTCTGGGATCTAAGCCCTACTGCTGTAAAATCCACTGTCAGTGGTGATTTCATGGAATATAATATGTGACTAGCCATTAAAAATCCCCCACTCTTGGTGGAAGGCACTTGTCATTTTGTTACTGACTGTTCTGACAGATGGTGCCCCATCAGCAATGCATCGTCCCCAGACAATCCCCATGCAGTAGTGTTCGTTAAGGAAGCCAGTTCATGTTATAAATGACTGTGCTGCCAGCAACAGACAATGTGCCACTGTCATCTGTGGGTGTGGATGGTATGAATTACAGAAGCTCACACGTGGAGTAAAATAACAACTTCCCTTTAACCCCTTCCAAAATAAGCACTACGAAGCCCATCATCATCAATCATAGTGTTATTACATCCCTTTCTCCACCCTTAATCACACCTTTACGTCCAGCCTTGAGTTGTGGTATGCATTGCCCTGTATCTCTTTTGTGCCTGGCAGGTTTCGCTTCCTCCTTAAACCAAAGCCTTGCTTTACTGATACGTAGCCTGGATATGTCTCTCCTCTGAACTCATCTCAGACCTTTTGACTTATATTGTTTCCTCACATGCAGAATTGAGTGAGACATTTAAAAGCAAAATAAATAGTCTGGACAGCAAGACACAGCTTTGCCTCTTCAGACTTTTGAATCCAAAGTCAAAGCTGAGAGCTGGAAGAGAAGGTTTCAGCTCTCAGAAAACTTCAGGGTCAACCTAACACGTCCTATCTGCTCCACCCAGTTGGACATTTACTGTAAACAGCTGCAGAGTACTGCAACTCACAGGCAGCCTTGGGGTGGAGAAAAGTGATTCACCTCTGCCTGGCTCTGGGAGCTTCATGGCCCATGCATCTACCAGGTGCATGATTAAACATTTCAAGCTGAATAAGGAGCGAGCAACTGCTTGTCAGTGTTCGGTTCATCCTTATCACTTTGAGGCCCAAGAGGAACACTGAGCACACCGTGTCCTGAACACTTCCTTGGCCCAGACCTCGCATCAAAGCAAACCACATACTCAAGACAGGTTTCCAACCTACACTACAATGAAAAATCTCTATGGAGTGTATCTCAAGACCACATATCCAGTCTGAAATAAGTCCTAGCAGATTCTGGAAATCACCACTTCTTCCTCACTGTAGACAGAACTGTAATAGTTGCCAGTAAAACTTTCCAGCAATTTTAGGGGCCTCTGGACATGAAATTATTTCATGTCTTTGCCCAGTTCTCAGTCAGCAAAGAGAGTTTCTGGGCACAGCAGGCTCTTTTTGAGCAGATCTTAACAGATGAACAAAAAAAATAATTTCATAAAGCTGAAATAGAAGTTACAGCATCATCAGCATATATATATAGATGTGAAGTGTTCTTTTATATTGATTGATGTGTAGAAGTGTGAATCCAAATGCACGTGCTTCCCTTAGGCTAGTCATAGGGACTGAGGAAGCAACTTCCGTGGTTCACATAAGTAAACTTCCACAGTTCACTTACTCTCCCAGAACCTGCCTTGAGGAGACATAATTTTCCTCTGCTGTTCCTGCTAAGACCAACATTTTCTTTGATAGAAAAGACGCAAAATTATACATATTCCATCACTTTACAGGCATGTGGTAATTTATGTGAGCCAGATGCATGCTGGCTCTGACAGCACATTTTAGAGGCATCTACAGATGCCTGGACAGGCCTCTCCAGATTCCAGCTGTTCTGATGACATGGAGGTGGGGTTCATCTCATTTAAATTTGGGTGCCCAAAAGCTAGGCACCTAATTCAAGATAGTCATCTAAATTCCTGTTGTAGGTTATGGAGACAGAGTGGAACAACCAGAGGGTAATTTATCCCATTTAAGATTGTTGGAACAGAGGACATACGCATCTGAGACCTTCCAAAGCCCTCATCTGCCTCCATTGCCTACAGTGACAGCCTGTATCACAAGCTTAGACTGAATGCCTATGTTCTCAACAATTAAAAAGAGGTGAGATGAATCTTGCCCAGAGGACGTAGTGGTTTCTTAAGCAATAGCAGCAAGCAAACAGAACCCTTAAGCCCCTGGCAGGACTTCTGGTCCTGCGTGCACAAGCACTGCTGGCTGCCAGATCATGTTGCAAATGTGCTTGGAAGTTGTAATGAGTGCTGGTGCAAATAGAAAAGCTCCACAGCTCCTTTGTATGTATAACATAAAAGGGGACAGCAAACCCAGACAGGCAGGACTCCTGGGTAAAGGAGAGACCCACCTCTGTCCGTGTTGTGCCATTTCAATAGCTCTGCGAGCAGGGACTGGGGAGCCGCCATCTGTCACACTGAGAACCTCCATCGACTTCCTTTCTGGCCGCCGCTTCCCATGCCTGTTCAGCATTGGGGAGTCCACACGCTTCCTGGGGGGATCTTTATGAAAAGAAAACGCCGTCAGCTGAATTCGGCTGTGACTTACCTCACAGGTTGGTTAAATCCTCTCTCAACAATCTCACTTTCACACCTCCCATACAGAGACAGGCATCTTCGTGACAGAGATGATCATTTGCAGTCTCTCCCTTCTTCCAAATTTGCAAACATTAAGACATAAGTTGCAATCTATCTACAGAGAGAAGGAGCATTGCTACTGCCCTGAATGTACGAGCACTGTAAAATAAAGGTACAACGATAGCATAGCTTGCAGAAATTACCTTACAAAGCTGATAAGAGTAACAACAAGATGACGGCATAGGCTATAGCACAAGCTGTTAGCCAGAGTATAAGCCATCTAGAGATCCTGTATATGTACTCGGGTTGCTAGAGCTTGCCTTCAATGTCCCTGCTAGCTAGATTAAATGTGACACAGAGACATGAGTACATTCTGAACTCAGAATTGCATTCTCCTCTGAAAACATATCCTTTTTTTGCATCTTTAAGATTAGATTTCAGGTTTTCCTCACTGCTTTATATTTTTCCTCCTTTGGCATTACAAATTAAACATACTTGTCTACCTGAGACGAATCTCCAATGAGAGCTACTAAAATTTATCTGAGAAGTCACTGTACAGCTTTTACTGCTATAGTAACCCAAGTGCTTTACACTTTTTATGGTGTAACATTTCTATGAGATATTGAAGTGCTACTTTCACTTTGCAGAGTGAAAACTGAGGTACAAGAATGAGATATTTAAAGGCAATTCATTCCTAAAGGTGCTGACAAACATTTACGGAGGTTCTGAGGTACACCTGAATTGCTCTGAAAAGTCTTTAGATACCAAACCACACTGCAGAAAGTGCTCCTAGGTGACTTGCCAAACCATACACACCTCTATGGTGAAGCAGGGAACCACATGCAGACCTGCTGAGATGTTTTATTACTAACATCTCTCATGGCATCAAAACAGTAAAAAGGAAGGCAGAAAAAAATACAGAAGGATTTTCTTTTCTTTGGTTGGACTATTTCAGTTCCCTGCTTCTATTTATAGACACATTTTTAATTTTAGTGGAGGGTGACCACCTGTAAAGAAAGCACCCTTCACCCCTGCAGTTAGAAAGAAGCTCACAGTGCCCAGCCCCTAAGGCTTCTTCCTCTGCCAGGATTCCTTTGTAAAACCAGTAATATTGCATTTGACAATCTACCTCTACTGCCTAGTCTGACGGTATTATTTTTATTATCCTGCCCCCCCTCCCCGCCCCCAATCACATTTTTTAGAACAAGATTCCTTTAAGGCAGGGCTTATTCTTGAAACAATGAGCATGATCAAAGATGGCTCAAATGCAAATGGACTAGTGATAACAACTGACCCCATTACTGTTTAACCCAAGTATTCTTTGTATGAATAATAATAATGTTCCTGTTAAAAATTAATTTGATAAAAAGCAGTTGTATCTCACTCCATTTCAAACTACGACCAGTTATAAAAAGGTAGTAGAAAATATTAATAGAGGCATTGACCTCCCAATCAGGAAAAATATATAGTGCATAAGGTTGAGGGAAAAACAAATGGAGGTAAACCTAATAAAGCATTTATACTGGGTGGCTTCAGCTGCACATACGTAAGTGGCCAAAAGTAAGTGGGGACAAGGTTTAGATATTTCAAACTCCTGCTTCTTCAAAGAAATTCAAATAATGAGAAAGGATTCATCCCACAGGACAAGTGCTGGTATCAGAAGTGTGACTAGAGCCGAGTAACACACACAACAACAGTGTAATTATGTTTGGTATCAACAACAGAGAGTTGATACAAGTTATGCAGAGGGATATCAGACATTAGAAAGGAAGGAGGAGGAGTGCAGCTTAAAAGAACAGAAAGGAAGAAGAAGGAAGATGAAGAAAGTAGCTAATGTCAAAAGAACAGAGATGAATAAGCTCAGACTGCACCAACGTTAGTTAATAATAGTCTAAACAAGAAAGATGGAAAAAGGCAAGAAAAACATTTTATGAACAGATATTTTAAACGGCAATTTGATCCAAGCATATTCAAAACAGATGACTTCAGCAAATGGAAATTCAGCTGAGTGACACTTAAAAAAGTGACAAGACAAATATAAGGTGGACATTAAAAGATAGTGAAGAAGAAATTTGAAGAGGAATTAGCTTGAATAACAGTATTTTGTACAGTCATCAAAAAGCTTGAGAGGACAGTAGCCAGAGGGACTATGAGGGAATCAACAGAACAATTAAGAAGGAGAAGGATATTGCTAACAAGCTAAATGGTTCTTTTATATGAGTCCTTGCTGCTCAAGATGCTGGAAGATTTTGATTTCCAATCTATATTTTGAACTATCAAAGACAGAGACTAAGCAAAAAGAGCAGGTTGTGAGACACACCTATCAATTCAACAACAGCAATTCACAAAAGTTTGATGGAAAATACATCCAGAAGCTTGCATGAATGTGGTTGAGCTTCCAATAAAGGTATTTGATTCCTCCTTAAAATTGGCTACAATCCTACATTATACATAACTGAGGGTAGCAAGTATTGTAGATATTTTTTAAAAGGGTCTGAGTAAGAAACGACAGGGCACCTAGTCTGTCATCACTGTCAAGTCTAAAGATACTAAAGAAATAGTTAAATACACAGCCATCCTCCCATGAAGACTAAAGTGGTGTCATATAAAAGCAGTAGAAGATTTTGCAGAAGCACAGGAATTAAAAACAGGAAAACCTCCAGTGTTTGCCCTTCTTTTCTTGACTCTCTGGAAATATTTCACATGGGGAAAAAAAATCAAGTCCTAGTCTGGATCTGTGGTAGTTTTGAGGATGCATTTTACTTTTATCTCATATCAGAAAAGTGAAGCCATTCTTAAGGGTTTTTACAGAGGAAAAGAGAACTGTATAGGTAATGATCCAAGGCATTCATCTGGAAGGTGGGAAATAAAGGTTCAACTTCTGAGTTTAGATGCCCATAGGCACCTATATCCTATATGCCTATTCTGGCCCAATCTCTTGTTCTCTGGATTATTAAGCAACTCCACCCAACAAAAGTCTTTTCCTCAATGAGACATTAATTGACATTTATTGAGAAGTTTCTTATTTCAGTGTTTCCAAGTAAAGAAAATGAAGCTGAATTCAAAAGATGGTGAAAGCGCCCTTCCCTGGCCCTTTGAGAAGGCTTCATGTAGCTGAAACAGACAAAAGGGACACCAGAAGAGAGTGCTAGTCTGAGCTGGCCCTGTTTTTACCTGCATCCATCCTTTCTGAGACCTAATGTGCAAAGAAAGAGGAAAAAGCAAAATACTGAGATGCCTTTTTTTTTTTTTTGGCAAGATCTCTGGCAATGAACAACTCTAATGAATGTGGTTTCTTCAAGCTGCTATTATTAAATCTGTTACTTTTTCTCTGCTCTTCCTTATTTGTGCAAGGCCGTTGCTAATGGCTAATGATGAGATATTAATCAGAAGCATGACTGCTCTTAATTAAACCTTGCCCCATGTTCTCAGAGATACTGCTGGGAACAGAGGAGGCAGAAAGCCCCTGTGGAAGAGGAAATACAACCTACAAACACTCAAAGAATAATGCTCAAAGAGTCTAAAATGTGCCGATGAGGCACAGTACATTCAGAGTAGTGTTTCCCTGTTGGGGAACACTTTCACTCCTTGAACTAAAAAAAAATACAAGAACGGAGCATAGTATTTCAGTTCAAACCAAGAAATACTTTGGCATGTGGAAGAGACATATCATGTATTTAGGGCACAGCTACATATTCACTTACGTGCTGGATATAAAGATTCTAGAGTCACCTTGTTTCTTTTCCTATGACAAAAGCATTTCTAAAACAAGATAATGGTGTCCTTACATGGCAGGATAATCTGACTCAAAAGCTGATTAGTAAAGTGCTAGATGACAAACTGCACTGAGCAAGGGGCTTTTGACTACAGGACCCGCAGCTGGCACATCAACCTATCTTCATGAGGATCCCTGCTAACAGGCTCTCTGTAGCTCCATTCAAGTAAGAATGTAAAAATTATTGAGTTGACTAAGGATTTCCATCTCTTCTCCCAGAAGAGATTTCCCTGCAAAATTATAGAGCCTGAAGCCTGGAACTAGCATAAGGTAATAATTCAATGGAGTATTAACAAACTTATAGTTCCATATACCACTGTCGACTTGGGAGATTGCAGGCTTTCCAGTGAAAATAAAGACCACTTTGCTTCTAGCCTTCAAAGTGCTGAAACACAGTAACTGAAAATCACAATGCTACTATGTAAAAATGCTATTTCAGGTCATTGATAGAAGTGAATAATCCTTTATTAGTTAAACTTTTGTCACTCTGCACAGCAAGGATCATTTATATAGTTAGTTCCCTAGGGAAGAATTTTTCCTGTTGTCTAGACTAGTGAAGTCCGTGGCAATCAGCAGTGCCCTAAAACACTAATAAACAATTCTTTAGGAATAAAGTGGTACCACAAAAGCTTTATAAGATATATAATCTTACTGCATATTAAGCTTTTAAAATCTTTCTAAGATAGTCTAAAAGCACGGCAGTTTGATGTATGTACTATAAACAGGTAAGTGATATTACTCATACTTTCAATAGTGTATGTATTTACCTGCAGAAAAGAGAATGTGTACATATATAACTTCATAGGGACACAATGCTACACAGTCTTACTAGCTCAAGTCCAGAAGCACCATTTCTGCAACAATGCATGTAGATTAGTAATTAGAAAATTCTGTCACTAGACTACACTGCTTCTATAGTAACCTCATCTGCTCGCATAGAGCCGGCTTGTGGGTCCACGTGATATTTTTAAAGATCTAGTTCAAGACCAACTTGGATGTTTCTGTGCTGTGAGACATACATGTCTTAAAAAATGAAGCCTTCAAATTTAACCACAGAACAGACCTGTCTACCTCAGGCTGAGGATTGTCACTAGTGCTATCCACTGTTTCAGTGGGAAGGTAACAGTGATGCTAGGATTTGGGTATATATTGTAAAAAAAAAAAAGGTGAAGAGGAACTAGTTGAGATCGGTTCATGGTGACAGACATCATATCTGTAGTACCTATTTCATTTCTAGGGGGAAGATCCTCATCTTCATGGCTAGGATACCTCTCCTTCCGGTCAAGCAGAAGAAAATAAATCATTTTCTCTTGGTTTTCTCTGAAAAAAAAAAAAAACCAACTTTAAATTTGAAAAGAACATCAACATGTACATAAATTCTTTTCATCAAACAGTTATTCTAAATAAGCTGGAAATGGTCATGTACCTGCTAGCTAGACACACAACCCACAAAGCTTTTGAGAACCTTGCTGTCTCCAACAAGCAGCTAGTGAGGAAAGGAAATACAATTCCCATGTTAAACACACAGAATGGGCACAGGACAGATGAGGTAACGTCTCCTTAGGAAGTCCAAACCAAGAGTGGCAGCAAGACAAGTCTCCTGAGCCCCTAAGTGCTCTTTCCACTACATGTCCCTCTTAACACTCAGGAAATACACCATCTCTCAGCCATAAGCTTGAAATAAATAAAAATTTGCCAGCAAAGGCATATCCAACACAAATAACAGCAATGATACCTCCCCATCTGGACTGTATGGCCCATCTTTTCATGAAGTGACCTTGCCTGGCAGCAAGGGAAGACACAGCACCATGGCTCTATTGCTGGTCAAGCTGTGAGCTTCTGACACATGGTGCAAGAAAGGCTCAGTGCTTGCTCCCAACACCTCACTAGCAAATGAGCAGCCAGAGGGTGAGAAATTGCTACTGACCCCTCACAGCAAGAGACATGTTAAAGTGATCTCTACCTCGCCCCAGGTTTATAAGCATCCCAGCCCATGGACACCCAACTGATATGAAGACTAAGTGCTTACTCTTCTGATAACAAGTCCTGTAAGAGTTTATTTCGGTCACGGAAGCAGCCTAATGAGTGCATGCTATCTAACACGTCTGGATCAATATCCTCCAAGGAAGGGAGAGAACGAATCTGCACCTTTCGAGGAATTGGTTGCTCTGGTTCTGGCTCGTTCTTACCCCCTCTGCAGAGGAAAGAAGATGAGAGAAAGGGGGCAGGGAAAGGAGGAGAGAAAAGAAGCATGAGTCACAAATGAACCTGTACTCTGAAACACAGCCTGCATCAACAGATGGAAATACCTTGTTAAATTCCCACTGAGAGACCAGAGCTCGCAACCAGATACTCTCTTCAGGAGAAACTGCCATGAAGGCTAAGAGTGACCAGCACCTTGTGGATTTGGGTCTTTCATGAGAAATGTCTGCGTTCAGCCAGAAAGGCAGTAGGAACTTCACTTACCAGTGCCCTCATAATTTAAGCAGCTGTTCAGCATCCTAATGTCAAACATTTATAGAACACTACATGGTTTTAGAGATGCTCTCATCAGCAGGCCAGACCACAGGCTAGCAGGCTGAAAAGTGCAAGCTGAATGATTCTGTTTCAAAGAAGGAGCTGTGAACAAACCATCACTGTTTTTCTCCAATTCTGATTACAACAGGCACTGCAGCAGTTTCTTTCTTTAAAGCTTCCAATGTAATTAAGAGACCTCAGTGTTCAGGTCCCCACTTGACACACTTTAAAGGGTTTTAGGGGAAACCAGGCTATTAATACACCCGAATATGACAGTCTCTGCTCCTCTTCAGATGTGCATATTTGAGCACTGTGGCCCAAGTGTGATACCTGAGGTCGGTGGCAGACCTAGGAATGCATCCCTAGTATTAGAGCATATTACTCTTTTAAAAGTAGTTAACACAAGCTTTCTGCATAATTATGTCATCCCATTCACTCGATGCAGGAAACATTGATTATTTGTTGCAATTAAAGGTCCTAATTGTAAGAAACAGGTCAAGGTGTTAAGCTATCTATAACCAACTGAATGATACATATTGCAGAATGAATATCCTTCGATTTTGTTTAGGCAGGCAGGGAGCAATTTACATAAACTCTATCCACCCAAAGAGGTGGGTTTGGTGGTGGTGGTATTTTGGTTGGAGAAGCTGCCTACCCTGAATCTTCACTATTTCTCAATGGATGCTTTGTGCAATGTTGAGGTTTTCCTACTGTGTGGGTGAGGTCCTTCCTTTCCTTTGTGTGATGTAAACGTGTGATTGTTGGGTCCAGGCTCCCAGGGTGGGCAACAGGCATCAGAAATATTTAAACTGCATCAGCTGTCAGCGTTTGCTGTTTATGGGGCTGTGTTTGGGCAAAAGATTCTTCCTTTTGATGTTGGCAGAAATAAGGTGAACACAACTTGTGAACTTACTTGCACAGCTTCAAATGCTCTGAGCCCAGATGTGAGCTATCCAAGTATCTACACAGAAAAGGGAGCTCCAATTCAAATGCCCCTAATTTTTCTTGGGTAGGTTAGAAAGCAACTCAGGTAGGATCATACACATGAGCTCAAGATCTAAGCTGGTGTACCAAAAAGAGAGCCAATACAGATTATCTCCTCCAAGATAAGAAGGCAATACTAAGTCATTGCAGCCAGGGCTCTGATGCTAGGACAGGACAGTTACATGCTACACCTTAATCACAGGAGATTGCTGAGTGCTACTTGCAATTTATTTTTAAGCAAGTTGAAATGCAGTTGTGAGGCATCTGCTCTGCTAACCATGTTTGTGGGACATCACTTCTTACAAAAAGACTCCCTGGAAATTTTCATTTGATCTTCTTTTGAAGCGGTGAAAATGTATCCTGCTCTTCCTGGATACGTGTCATGCAGTGAGACTCTGGTTTCATTTACATGGGTCATGACAACATCGAATGTGTCAGAATATACAGGACAGAGAAACAATCTGCTCCTTGGGAGTCATTCTTGTGTGTCAAACCTCTAAAACACAGCTTCTGATACACCCTTGGAGTCTCGCAGAAGTGCCTATGTCTTCCGCAATGACACTATAGCCCTAAATTTAAGGGATAGATTCAAAAACCCTTGCTCAACTAAAGAAATATCTTAATTCTTGAGTGCCCTGTTTTTAAAAGGTAGCTACTCCTATCTCTCAGGATCAGGCTCTAGCTCTCAGCAGGTAATAAGCAATGATTAGATCATAACCTTGCACTATTAAAGCAAGTGACGACCTTGTCATCAAGATAAATTCTTGCAGGATGGACCTCTGAACAGCAGCTGAGTTTTCTGGTTTTTAATGATCTGCACTTCACTTTGTAAAAGTATTGACTTAATTAATTGTTCATTATGCCACAAGCAGATGTCCTTAAGGTAATTTAAAGACATTACAAAGAATTATTGTTTTTGAAAATTTCCAGAAAATCTGGGTTTCCTACTAGTTGCCCTATTCTATAGCAGAATATCACCTGCAAGCTTTTGTATCAATCAGCATGGGAGCCATTTCTAGAGAGCACAGCTTGTCATCTTCTGTGCACTGAAAAGTGGCTTTTCCTTACGCCCTGTACCTGGTCAGCTTCAGACATAGTCAGGAATTTTCACACCTCCTCATCAGGTACAAGCAAAACCTGCAAAGAGGTGTCTCGCCATTTGGTAACACAATTCAGTGCTTCGGGAAATGAAAATCACTGGGTCTGGGCTGTGATTGGCATGACTGTATTGCCTGTTCCATTCTCAGTCTAGCAGAGAGTGACAAATTTGTTGCATTTCAGCCCACGTAGACATCAAACAATGTCACATGATGAATACTGCAAATCGCGTATATTTTTTTAAAGGCCCACATAAATGTAATTGCTGCTTTAAAACCCATCCTCTTTTGTGAGGATCGGTGCATACAATGGCTGTGATTCCAGACCAGGGCAGACTTTTTCAGTCTCTCCATGAAATTCCCTTGAGAATATCACCGAGATGCACATTTGCATCAGTGCAAAGCAAAGCAGAACCGGTACATTTATTCTTTTTCTGATTTTAGTAAATTTGGTACCTTCACAATTAGGGCAACAACTCAGTGTTACAGGAGTAGGTATTTACCATTGCAGCTAATTTTATTTGCTCTGTTGCTTTATTAAAAAATGTGAAAATAACTGCTATCTATTTGCTGATTTATGATAACCTGCACTTGAGGTAAAAATAAATTATTTCAATTAAACAGGCTTAAAAAACGTCATTGAATTAATTTGGGTGGGAGAGCAAGAAGAACTGGAGGTTGGTGATGAAAGGTTTCTCTTTGGTTTCTTTTTTCCTTTTTTTAGGCTTGTGAATCATGATTTCAACTTTCAAGACCTCTTTCTCTGTCTGCATAGTCTGCAATTAAATCTTTTCCTCAGTTTTACAGTAGCCTTAATATTTATTTGAAGAATTAAGTGAAATCACTTATATGTTCTGAGTACAACTTTCAGGTGAGTAACCTATAGATGACAAAGAATGAAGATTTTACATAGAATAGTAGTGTTACATGAAATAAAGAAAAAATGAAAGATGTGAGCAAAACAGCCGTAGAGCAAAACAGTTATAACTCCTCCTTCTCTGTCAGCATCAGTATTTTCAGGCAAAATGAACGCAAAGAGGCTGTGAAACATTGCCAGATGAAAGTAGTTGAGTTTTGGAGGTGGCAGGGTTATTCACAGACTAAATTTAGCCAAAGGAGGTTAACCTCCTTAGGTCAATCCATGGCCAGTATAGAGAAAATGAGAGACTCATTAAAGAAGCTATTTTGAGCAGAAGCTTTGTTTTAGGCAATCTGAACAGACTTCTGGAAGAGCCTTTCTTTCTCTGCATTGACTGCATTGGGAGTCTAGAGGAGATTTGCTTTTGCAAAACTCTATTTCTACTTCTGAAAACAGCCTCAGATGCTCTTTCCATTGGGGTAAAAAACTGTTTACTGTGTCAATCATCAGAGAGTCTGTCCTTCACTGAGAAGTACATGAAAATATTTAAATGCTTATGTCTGGAAAGGAAAAAAATCTTCAAATTCTAAATCTAGAATAAAGTCATAAAATAACACCTGCCTAATTGTGCATGTGAGCCAAGGACAACAGTCCTCTGACATGTGAAAACTTCCAGGCCAAAATCTTGAGGAGGGTTAGAATAATAATAAAAGTGATCAATGACATTTCATTTTATTTCCTATTCCAGTTCTGATCAAAGCACAGAGAAAGTCAGCTGATTTCACTCCATGAAGAAACAGAGGGGATCAGCTGTCCAGTTTGATGTAAACAGCATTTACTTCTGGAACTGCTAATAAGACATTATAGGAGGGGTATTTCAGAGATTACAATTAGAGATTCCCCCTTCCATTTCTCCTACATTTATCCATGAGAGTTTTAAAAAAAAAAACAAACCTGCAGCAAACAACACTCCAGTCGTCCTTTGGTTTAAAAAGTTGCCATGTCAGCTGGTAACTGTAGAGAACATGAAAAAGCCACGGGCAGAGTGCTGCCACCATTTCAGGTGAACTAATTAAAACCCATGTTATTCAACAAACTGTTGCATGCCCTCATGTCCTGTCGAAGACAGGTAAATCCAGAAGTGAACATTGCCCATAAGATAGAATTAGAGAAAACAAAACAAATCCAACAAAGGTTGGTTGGTTGTTTTTTTCCTGGTGACAGGCTAAAATATCAGTTCCTATCATCATCAAGTATTTCCCAAGAGCAATGACAGGATTATGAAGGCAGGACTTTCCTTATCATTCACCTGTGGAACCTGTAGGTATGCTGACCCTGAGAGGCATGCATCAAAGCATCATTTCTGTATTTAATATGTGAAGAATTCTCCTTAGTTTGATTAGGTTATTATCAGTATATTAAAAAAAAGTTATTTACTTAGGTTTCTTGAAATACTATCAAGGCTACACAAAGTGCAAGGTCACTTTTAAAAGCCATCAATCTTCCTTATACCCAAACCACTAGACAGGTGTGTACTTTCCTCACAGACCTCCTGTTTGACTGTCAAGACTGCTGCTTTCAATCAAGTCACAAAACTACTCTCACATCAACAGGTTACAAGGTCAGAAGCAGCCTCTTAGCTTGCTGCGAAGAAGTAGGGATTATGACAGAAAAGCTCTTGTTCACAGGTGCTTATCAATATCATCATTTTTGTTTCTACTTCAGAGAAAAGCCAAGATGCCAAGAAGGAACAAACGAAAGCTTTCTTGTCAAGAAGCTATTACAAGGGATTGTCTGTAGCACTTGGGCAGCAAACTAAATATGGCTGTTGGGGGTTTTTTGCTGATCACTTGCAGGTATCTTTTGAACACAGCAAGTTGCTGTACTGAATGTCTTATTTCAAACAATTGTTAGTCACTGTATAAAAAGTTCCTGGCTTGATATATACATAGATGAAATTATATGAGTAGCAAAAGGTAAAAACAACATTAGATGCCTTTCTGTCCTCTGTCCCTTTCTCCATCTGTGTGAAAGCTGCTTTCAAATTCCAGTCTCTCTCTTCAGGGATCACTAGAACATCAGCTCCTGTAACAGAACCAATAATGAATGCATGCAAAAGTGAATTTAAAAAGTTCCACTTACATATACCATATGTGTTTCTGAATATGTTCTAGCTGTAAAGGAAAAGAAAACAAGGAATTAGTGCTGTAAAACAGAAAAGGTAACTCTACAAGACATCCCCATTCAAGGTTTATTCAACTAAGTCCAACATTCCAGAGCTGGATCTGTGCAAACAACAGAACTTTACGCTGCATAAAGAGCATGCTCATCCTCACCCACCCCACTGGAAATGAGACTATAATTCTAGACATAAGGAATCAATCAGGAGCAAATTCCAGAAAAATGCATAAGTACAAGGCTTCACAGGCAAATGTTCTGGCAATTTATGTTTTTCCCTTCCTAAGCCTTTCCCCTCTATAATCTAACTGAAGCTAACAAACTGCTCCTTTTTGTATCTGCTTTTTTTTTTTGGAAAAAAAGAGCGAGAGAGAAGGAAATAGAAACAAGTTCAAACAGATAATGTGAATAAACAAAATAAATTGTGCATGTGTGATATGACCTTCTGCCAGGACCCGTTCTTGATTGGCTTCATATCTATCATTAAAATCTAAAAATCAAGTAGAATAAGGTTCTATGTCAAAAGAATACCATTTACTGTTCCAGCACCTGAATACCAGACTGCAAATTTCTTTTACTTCCCTCTTTCTTGTTTCACACATGAGCATTTTAGTATGCAATGAAGCACTGATCAAAGCTGAACAATGGCTTTGTCCACCTATGGAAGATCCCAACAAATGTTACACAATGACCATGTTTTCCACAAGCATGGGGAAAAAGACAGTAACACTGTTTTTTGAAGATAAATTCTTAACAGTAGAGATAACAAACTGTTCATACGACATCCTTACAGCAGAACCTTCCTAATCTGCTTTTTTGAAGCATCATCACAGTAGAAAAGAACTTTTCATAGATACCCAGGGATTATTCATTATGCAGACAACATTTCTCGTATTGCTCATTATGAAGCACCTTTGTACGTGCAGAACAATATGCACACTCACTGCACACAGGCTTGTGTTTGTGCAACATGCAGGTGAGAGGCAGGGAAGAGCTGGAAGGAAACTCAAGTGCTAACAGCTATAAGATGAAATCACAGACCCATTAAACTGGTCAGGAAGAATGGAGACAGCTGTCCTGCTCTTATTACTTTCCACTTCAATTCCAGAATAATGAGAATCAGAGAAAAAAAAAAAAAAAAGAGGAGCGGACAAACAACAAAATCTCAAGAGAGAGAAAGTAGGTGTTTGCCACAGAGAGCAAGGAATCAGAGATCTCTGCGCTATGGAACAACAGCTCCGTGCCTCGGAAACCAGAAAGTTCTGAGGTTGGCTCTATATGAGATAATTTTTTAAGTGAGACAGGGCTTTTCCTGAAAACAAAGACACAAGGGAAAGCATGACAGGAAGCTGGAGGGATCAGTATGAGAGACAAACAGCCTACTTTAAAACCAAGACTGTATCAACACTACAATCAGAGATGCAGCTGGTACTTGTACATCTAGCTGTCTTCTAACCAGCCCAAGTGCTGTGAGCACCACTGCACCCCAGCATACATATCCACAGGCTCAGGCAGACTTGCACGGCTTCCTGCTGTGGCCTCAGCTCTGCCAGAATAATTCCCCTTCATCACAATTCCCCTTGCATTAGGTATTTGTTTCATCTCTGCACTATTAAGAGAAAGGTGTAGTATTCCTGACACACTGCCATCTCCCCCGACCAGCTTAACTCAAGGAGATACGATCCACATTACGGGTGTTCCCCTAACAGCCTGGAAACACAGCCCTCTTCCTCCTGGTTGTTCTCAAGCTGAGGTACAAACATAGAACAAAGGAAGAGCCTATTTTGTGCAGTTTCCATGGGACAGGATTTTAGCATTGCAATGCTAAAAAGCATTTAAAAGCATTAAAAGCATAAGTTGTAAAACTTATCAGCCCACAGTACTGCAAGGATCTGCTCAGGAGTGTACTCTACTTCCTTTGCTTGGTAAACCACCCTACGAGATGCACATCTACTCATTATTTCATACACACCACACGGAGGGTTAGAGACATTAATGATTTCAGACAAGATGCAGATGATACAGCTAAGCGATGTCCAAGCCTCTTTCATGCTTGCTTCTCCTGCTGCATTTTCTGTCTCCATGGGTCACATTGTTCTTTTGTGCCTGTGATATGCAGAAATGCCATGGCGAAGCAGACAACAGCACTTCTTTTTCTGAGTTAGAGAGGGGGAAGAAAGGAGGGTTACCAGTTCATGTCTTAGTCACAGAACCTCTGGGCTTCTTCAGAGAAGATGTCAAAGTGAAATCCCTTCTGCCCATCCCTGCTGACCAACCTCCTTCAAGCTAATGAACCCACAGCATTTTTCTGAAAGAGATGCCCCCTAGCACCTTAATATATATTCAAAGGTGTATGAGAGCTGTCATGGCTGCTGTTTACCTACACATCTGCCATTCAATCCACATCAAAACCATTGCTGTGAAGTACACTGGGATATCCCAGATATGAAAACTATTCTATGAAACCAATTTCTATTCTGATTCAAACGTAATTTCATTGAAATGTTATTACAAGTGTGCTTGCTGCTGCCAACATCTTCACTGATTTTTTAAAGGTAATTAATTAATGCTTTGTTGCTTTTCATCTGCACTAAAGTGACAGGAGGGTTATGGGAGGGCGATTGGTTTTGACAACAAGAAGTCTGTATGCTTTTTACTATGCAATGCAGGGGAGGGAGATACACAGTGGGAGCTAATCTCACTGCTTCTGCCTTCATTTAAACACAATGTTTAAATGCATTTACGTGATGAAGGCATTTAACAACCCTTCCCACAGGGTTCTTGCTGTTTGCATGAGTTTGCCAAATTTAATGCCATTTTATGGAAGTTGTAAAAAAGCTGCTTCCTAATCTCTCCTAGCCACCGCAGGCAATTGTGTCATGACGCCATCTCTGAAACAACAAAACATGCTCAGATCCGTTGCAAATGCACAGTCAGAGAGGCTAAAATGCTGTAATGGAAGGAGAGGGGGAATTCCTTTATCATGGTTTTGCATAAAAATACTTCCTATATATATATAACTTGTATACTAATGTAGCACCTAGGACCCCCACTCACAGATGAGAGACCCACTGTGATACAGAGCTGTACAAGCTCATCAGAAAAAGAGGTTTCCTCCCCCAAGGAACTTACATCTGAATTCTAAGGCAGGGAACAACAGATGGAGACAGACAGGCAGATGGAAAACAAGACAGCACTGTCTACATCCTCAGCACTGATCTCAGCAGAGTGGCTGCCAAGCTAAAACGTTCTGACCTGAAGAAAAACTTTCTGAAAGTCTATGGATATGGATGAGGGCTTCTGGGCTTGAACTAATGTCAAATTTCAAACTTTCCTGTCCAGAAAGGGAACAGTGTCAAACCCATCTATGCACTAAATTGACCCACATCTCAGATTAATCTTCTTCACTCAGAAGATCCTTTAATTTGAGCTTTAAACCTACTGCATAATGTCAAGATAGAGGCTTTTCCTGACCAAAGGATTCAAGCTGGCAGTGCAAATAGAACTGGTAAAACAGTTATCTGTGTCAGTAGTAGCAGCCATACCATAGACCAGCCTCCAGAGACCTTGACAAGGGCAAGGTATCACTGTGCTACATGCACGGTGCACAAATAGGCCCTTGACAGCCAAAAGCTTACACCCTAAACACATCAACTGGACAATTACCTCCATTCTACAGGTGGTGAAGTGAGAAAATTTAAATGATGTGATAGGCACCTTACATAAGACCTTTTAGAAAAATGAACAAGGAATCAGGTGAGCTTCTTCTTGTTCATTTTTTTAAGATTCTTTAGATGCTGTGTTCCATCATTAGCATACATTAGACCCAAGAAAAAACAAAAACAAACAGAAAGCAGAGAGAAGATTCTGAAAATGTGTGTAACTTAAGTTGGATAATATCCAGGGACAGGTATTTCAGACTATGTGGACACCCAACATGGAAGACAAGTCATTGGAATAAAATGTCAACATTGGAACAATAACAGCATTATCAGAATAGCTTATTCTGCAATTTCTGCCCTGATCCACCTTGCTCTATAGACAAAGTTTCGATAATGCTCATCCATCTTTAAAAGGAAAGCGGACCAAAAGCTCCCTACTCTCCCCTTTTGCCTTTGTGTTTCTGTAGAAGAAAGTATCAGCTGAGAATGCAAATGGATTCCACTACAGGAGCTGTAATTCTCCGCTGTAGCGATGCTGAATCATTTGAAACCTCCAAGGGAAAAAAAAATTCACTTTCTGAAGAGCACATAACTAAAAGAAACCTCATCCTGCAGTACTGCAGGCACCGAGAACACTCATTCTCTTCCATAAACCTTCTCAAACTTAAAACTAGTTCACTTTTCCCTCCTGACACTACTCCTACTAGAAAGTGGTCCCAGAACCCCACTAATATGTCTAAAATGCTCCTTCTAATTTCTAGCCTACTTTCATGTAAGGCCAGTTGACATATATTTGTTTTTGTGCCAGTATCTTCCTTTAGTTTAAATAATCCTTCTATCCCTAGTAATTACCTTGGATGAATATGCAGACGACCAGCACAAGCTTTCTCAGTCATCACCTGCGTAGACTACGTGGAGTTCTTTTAGGCTGCGTTATTCCGACAGACTCTCTCAAATACTGGACCACCTTAGTATTCATTCTTTCTTTGATTTCATCTTTCATGAATATTGGTGGTCAGAACTATCACGACCAGCAGCTAGGATCAACTTTTGTAGTCTACTGAAAGAAAAACATGGATTCTTTTCTTTTAAAGCATGTTTAGTAAAATAGGCCCAGTAAAGGTCAAGGATGTCCCACTAACCATACCTGAGGCTATGTAATATACGGTGAGCGTGAACAATGTTCCACTAAGACATAATAAAGCCTTCTTTCCATAAATGAATCCTATACAAAGAAAGATAATGCCTATTTCTTAAGGCAGGAAAGGGCCAGCAACAGTAATTCTGAGTACCCTCCTCTCCATCAATCCTCTCAAGCTCTAACACTGAAGCCGAATGATGACGGTTAAACATGAATGCTAGTTCTGTTTTTGTTGATCATTTTAACAGATGGACTGGGGAAGGTGTGGGTGTGCTGTGAAATGGCAATTACTGCAGGGAGGGAAATGCATTTGGATGAAAAGGAAGAGATACACATCAAATAAAGGAACAAAGCAGAGACGGGAAGGGAAAAATGAAAGAAAAAAAAAGATTTAGTGCCCTTATATTTCACTATATTTTTCTGCTGAATTCACCAGTGAGATATTGAGCAAATGATCAGTAATGGTAACAGCTACATCTGTACTTATTGTACCCAAGCCACAATTTCACTCACATCTTTGTATAAATATCAAATTGATTCAAGTGAGATATTTTCTAGGAATAGAGGCTTCCAAATAAACCCATATTTATACCATTTTTCACAGGACACAGCTAAAATAGAATTCAGATCTCTCCTCAAAATGAACTATATATTCCCAGCTCCTGTATGGTAAACAAAGAGCTCCCTTTTGCCTGGCAATCTAAGCAACCAGCATCTTAACAGCATAGAAGTGTGACAGCAGCAGGGACAGCAAACCGAGAGACCCTAAAATAATGAAAATAAGATTGCAGCTAATAACAAAGAGCTGTCCTTTTTTCCTCCTGGCTCTCAGTTCTTGAGTATGTTTTATTTCAAATTCTTATTCACAATTCACTGGTTAGTGCTTGTCAATAACTATCTGATCTGTTTTTTTTTCCCCTCCCTAAGGAAATAAGAGCTTAATTTTGATCAAGAAAAGGAGGGGTGGTGGTGTCATGCTGGGACTTTGATTTACCTTAACTGTTTTCTCTCTTATACATGTATATTCTCTGCTGTATTGTACGATTCAACACATTTAGGGACTATGCTCTATGGAAAAACTCAGAACAATCCGACGAAGATCTAATATCTGATGAACTACTCCCTGGCATACTAAAACCATCGGCACTAAGATTTTTCAGAACCCCCCCCCCCACAACAGAAAACCTGTTATGTCTACACTATGGAAAGGAAACTAAGCAAGAGAGGGACTTGGTCATGAAGAACAGCTGTCTCATGGTATAGCCCTAACCTCTGCAGTGCTCTTCCCATGAAGATACTTGGGAAAATATTCTTTCTTTCTTTAAAAATCCATTTTAAAAAGGCCTTTTAAATGGCCTAACTTTTTTTTTCCAATCAGTGCTACTTAAGTACTGTAAATGTGATGGCTGCTGGGTTTGCAGAAGTAGAGATACAAGTAATAGCATGAAGAAGCTTTCACCTACATCACCAAATAGAGCATGACCTGGTTTTGTAATGAATGAAAGAAAAACCCAACTGCAGCTGTCAGGTAACACAGTAAAGAGAGTTGTGAAGGGAGTTTCAGTTCACTCCTTAGCAGACAGGTGTCTGCATCCCAAAAGCACCGTCACAGCTGGCACAGACTGATGCTTGTTAGCAATCTCAGCAGAGAGGCCAAGCAGTGATCTAAGAGTTTATTTATAAATATTTTAGCAGACTGAAGAACCAGGAGGAGTTTTAAATTTACATTTCTTTATACATACTCCCACTCAGAATCTGTGAGCTTAGTAAATCTGTATAAAATCATCACCACAGCCTGACAATAGGATTTACAAGGGCAATGTACCCATAAAGGCAGAAGCCTCCACTGACAAGCAGGCAACCTTGCTTTCCAAAATGATTTTAATTGCTAATTTTTTTTTAATTCCCCAAAACATTAGCACAGCGTTAATGAAGGATACAATCACTACACAGTGCTCACCCTTGCAGGGTCTCTGCTGTAGTGATGGGATATATCCTAGATGTAAAGACTCAGTGCCGAATACCAGAAGCTCAACACTGTGGGCCTAATCGTGCACAGGACCACAGGGCACATGATGAAAGAGCGGACTGGAAGACACTTGCCCTGAAGGCTGCTCAAGGATAATGCAGAGCAAATGCAGGACAGAATACAATGCAGGTTGCGTAGCACGAATTGAGAAGCCATCACTTTTGTCAGAAATGTAAGAAACGCACACTCTGTTTAATAGCAAAGCTTCAAGTAACAGTCCTAACAGTTTTGACCTTCAAACAGTTATATCCTGTCCCTGACAAAGTGGTGTACCAGCCAGGAGAGCCAGACAACTCAGATGGACTTCAAAATGTGCTAATGGGTCAGTAGCACTGTGATGATGTTATGAGGGATTTCTTCTAAATGTCCACTGTTACATATGAAGGAGAATTATGAGGCTAGAGAATAGACACAAAGGTAATATGTTCTCATGATTCAAAAGAGAAGGCAACTAACTTCTTCCCAAAGACTCCACCAACTCCACTCATTATTTGCTCAGGAGGAAACACACAGGACTGGCAGTAAATCAACAAGTTACCTTAGTTATTCAACTGTAACCGCAACAAGGTGACAAATGAAGCCTTGCTCACATGACTCGCAGCAAACACCTTCTTACCGTGAGACGTTTCGAGGCATCCACTTCAATCATCCCCCGCAAAAGGTTCTGACAGTCCGGGGGGATAAAATGTGGCATGTGAAACACTCCACGTTTCACCTTCTCCAACAGTTGCCGCAAGTTGTCGTCATCAAAAGGCAGAGCACCCTGCAGGGACGTGACAGAGTGGTGGATGGCAGAGATGAGCGAAAGGGAATTGGAGAGGGCAAAAGGAGAAAAGCCAGGATAAACATGGTGAGAGAATGGAAAAGAGGAAGTCAGCTCATAATGAATAATAAGTGAAAAAAAACTTTTTATCAATTGAAAATAAATAGTATCTTAGTGCTGCTGTATTTTCTCCAACATAGGAAACAAAAGTGAGGACATCATAGTTTTTTATGAGACCTTTAATTAGAAAATGACTACCAGTATAAAACATAATATGAAAATATGAAATTGCCTTTCCAGGCAAATTCACCAAAGATGCATGGATTCACTTAAATTCAGCTTGAGCTTTTGATCTGCTGGTATTCCTCTTGGGCATACTTTCACAGCAGCAATGTTTATCGTCTCCTTATTTTTAATCTTCCTGAGACACATTTATTGCAGACATTGAAAAGAAGGTGAACAGCATTTGAGAGACTTTCAGTAAAGAACATCCTCTTTCTGATGGAGCAGTGAAATGACACAGCTGAAAGAAACCCTAACCAACATTAGCCTTTGGAAGCAGCAGACATTCTACCTGTTTAATATACTCCATCCAGTTCCCATGCTGTGGTCAGGTCATCAGTTCCTATTGCTTCCCTAACGTAGCTCACTTACATGAATGGCTTGAGGTTTTTTAGCTGAAATTACATTTTGAACAGATTATCAGCTTGCCACAAAAAGCAATGAAAGACCTGTCCTTGCTGCAAGGACAAAATGGGAAAAAAGTTGTTCAAATCTTTACGATAACTCCACCGACTGAAGCTGAAACCCTTTTATAGCAAGTCTGCACCTTCCCAGATATTCTCACTTCCTTCTTTCACTGCCTAATTCTAGTAGGTGCTGAGCTTCCTTGATTTCCAGGATGGTTTGTGGGAAGCTGCAAGCTGTCAGCTGCTGTGATAATGAAGCTTTAAGTTGTCAATTCTGGCACTGCTCTTACTACAGCGAGTAGTGCATCTGTATAAGCAATCTTGTGTCTATGGTTTATGGAGACCAACAGCTGCATTTCCAGAAGCTTTAGAAAGCCCACCTGAGGGCAACCACTACTGGGCACCATTTACTGTTGTTTGTTCATTCAAGCGGCCTTGCAGAGACCGTCTCCATGTCTTCTGTAACCTATCATCTCCTGAGTTACCTACTCTTTTCTTAACCATTCCAGACTTAAAGGAAAATCAATTCTGATCGTTCAGTACTTTGGCTAACGCAATTTAAGCCACGATGAAGTCAGCAAGGCTGCTTTGTGGCATTTCCTGAAGGTAACAACTACAGCTGTTTTATTACTTCCACCTGCTATTATAGCTTCAGACTTTTTGTAGGGTTTGTCCTGACATAATTAACTGGAGGGCTCTGCACTCTCCATCAATAATAGACTTATTTCAATTGTTTTGCAGGCTCATGTATATATGTACAAACAGATGAAGATACAGCAACAGAGACACAGCAAATCTTGACAGAGAATCCCCCTGAAAATGAAAAGCCCACTCCTACAAATCCTAACCATCTTGACATATTCTCTCTTCTATTTTTACAAACACAAGAAGTTATATTAAGAGCTCATTATACAGTTCTATTTTATCAGCCATGAAAATAGCTGCTCAGGAGCAAGAGATGACCAGGTGATATCTAGTGAGATATAGTTAAAATTGTTTGCTTGCAACATCAAGATAAAAAATCTAAAACTTCAAAAATGTCAGTGAATTGTAATGACTGAAAAGAAAAAAAGAGTAAGATCCATTAAGGTGAGTTAAAGCATCATACTGAGATTACTTCAAGGTATTTTGGTTTGGGCTCTTAAAAAAATATCAGCATATGTTTTGAAACAAAAATCCTTTAAAATTTTCAAGTATTTTAAACAAAAATAACGTGCAGAATATAACTCATCTGATTGTACACTGTACAAGTGCTTTTGTCAAAATAAAATATTTAAGTGAAGTAATTAGGTCTACTAATAAATGTACGAGGACATCAAAATTCAACTTCAGGCTTGTTATTTTTAGAATTATAGATGATCATCTTAACTATTATAGATATAAAAAACTTAACACACTTATAAAATCTATTCTCATATACCATATTCAATCTGCACAAGGTATATGCTCATATGAACATAAACTACGTTTTCCTACATTATACTACGGAAATTGATAACAAATGCCAAGCCTATTTGCCTTCAGCTGGATATCCAATTGTTTAGGAGTATTACATTACCACTGCAAATCACTATAAATTCCACAGAGAATTGAAACTTTGATTGAAAGAAGGATAAATTACAAGATACCACATTTTGAATACTAAAGAAAGTATTACTGAGCCAGATGGAAACTAATTTAAACTTTGTACTACTGGCTTACATATTCCTAAGTGTACCAAATTAAAATGTAGCTCAATACTTGCATGAAACAAAATTGTTGCACTCAAATCTTCTCTTGATAAAACACGACAGTTAATGTATGCATATATGTACTGGAACACATATATACATACAGCAGAAAAAAACCCCACTTCCCAAACCCAGCCATATTTTGATCCTGTGAAGGACAACTTATTTGACACTCTGTATCCTGGAGTTGTAACCCTGCACATCCTTTCCAGTCAAAAAGTGTGCTGCAATATCGCAACACAGAGAAAAGCATTTATGGAGACAAGTTTTTGACGCTTGTCTATGCTCTCCTGTGCAGGGCAGCAGCATTTCAAAAAAGCAGTGAAATATTCCTCATGCTTTTCCTTCAGGACTGATGTAGAAATAAGAGGAAAGCATGCAACCAAGAAATACAAAAATAGTGGAACTAAAAAAACCCATCTGTACATGATGTCAATAGAATCGCCATTAAATACAGCAGCACTTTTGGATTTTTCTTTTCTTTTTAAAGGGTAGCGCAAGGAAGATGACTCACCACTAGCAACGCAAATAAAATGACTCCACAGCTCCAGACGTCTGCTTTCCTTCCATCATATTTTTCTCCCTGCGCAGCAATGACACAGAGGTTCAAAAGACTGCTCACTAGTAAATGAATTAATTATCCTTGAAGAACAAGAGAGGGGAGAATGGGAAACCCCACATTTCAATTCAGCCACCTGCTTCCCAAGGTGGCCTTCCCAACCAGGAGGCCATGAAACAGCCCATTAATTGAATTTTTATGAACATCAGTTTACAGTCTTATCTGGGATCTGCGAGAATAGGCTCAGAAGTGGGGAGTCGGGCAGGAATGGTCGACAACTCACAAATTTTTAGACCTGGCACTTAAACAGTGTCAGAGGTGCATTAAGGATGTCAAGAAGGTGTTTTTCTCTTCCCTGGCTCTTCAGGGAGCTTGTCACCAGTCACATTATTTGCAATCTTGTAGTACTGTCTGGGCAGTCTCTTCTGTATGCTTCCTGCTTGGCTTTACATTAAAGATATGCTTTAAAAGAGGGGAATCTTGGCCACTGAAATCTTGGATACTCATTTTCAGAGGACAAAGGGAGAGTAGAGGGAAAGGATAGTTCGTATTGTTTAATGGAAACCAACATCACTGACAGCCAACCCTGGCTCTTCTACTGAAATGACAGCTACATCAGAGACAGGAAAGCATAGGGGACTACATCCCCTGAGTGGAAAGATCAAGTTAAACGAGGCTACTGTATTTCTGTCTGATCACATGGCACAAAGGGTACTGTGAGAATAACACACGATCATTCAGGGCTGAGCCAAACAAACAATATCGTAGTTATGTTTCTTGTGTCCTTTCCAATGCTATCTGCCTTGGACAGATTTCCTGTACAGAGGGTCTATCTGCATACTTGCAACAAGTGACACTTTAAAAAATGTATTTATACACACTAATGTTAACCAACTTACCCGGATAACTTCAGGGCAAGCATAATGTGGTGATCTGAAACACAAAACACAGTCAAATGAGCATGTAACAAACAGCCTGGTATTTATGGATTAAATGTTTAGCAGAATCATGATTGGCTCACTTATACAGAACGCAAGGGTGCAAAGCCAGCACTTTTTTACCTTACCTCAGTGAGAACACATTTCTAAGAAACACAGAAAATGGTCGAGAACTAGCATAATTCAAAATTCTACAGCCCTATTATGAATTTCTTAAAAGTGAGGAAGGAAGAGAAGACCAAGCATATTCTGTGACTATATAGTATTCCAGCCCTCTAATCCCACCCTTCAACTCAACCTTCTATCTAATTAGAAGGAAGACCTATGTTGGGTAGCCTTTTATAAGAAAAAAGACAGAACAGTATTTTCAGATGAAACACATGCATTCCCAAACCATGTGTGTTGGGTTTGCGTGGCAAGGTTT